CTGCTGGCCAGAACCCAGGGAACATCGGGAGCGAGTCCAGACTGTGGCCCCCAGTAAGGGCTACCCCTGGCCTCCAGCAGCACAGGGGTCCCAGGCCTCTCTCCTGGGGGATTGTGCTGTCAGAAGTGGGCTGCTAGTGTTCTCTCCGGTCGGGGATGCCCCCAAGGGCATGACTGGCACGTACCTGGACATCCTGTACTACTCCAAGCAGTCCAGACGCTACACAACAAAATGTGAACGTTTCTGTACCAGTTTCTAGAAGATTCCCCCAGATTCCCCACCCCCATCTCTAGCCCTGTGGGAGAAGCCTTTGGAAGCAGATTACACTGCCCAGAGATGGAGGGGCCAGGAAGGTCATACCCAGGAGGACCACCTGCAGAACAGAGTGACACAAGCCCCACAGACAGAGGTAAACAGGGAATGAGGGAATGTCAGGGCAGAGGTGGGGGGACAGCCAGTCTCTAGGGGGTTGTAGATTGGGAGAAACAAGCAGTGTCTTGGAGGGGTCTCAGGACTCCACCATGGGGTGCACTGGGTAGAAGCTTCCACAGACGTGGGGATCCCTTATCCCAGCAAAACTCTACACTGCTGATATTCACTGTGACTCTGCGAGTCCAGAGGCATCTGGCCACCAACCACGCTGGGCACCCAGCCCTCTGAGTAGCCAATAAGTGATGGTCGCCCCACTATCTACTCCACTCAGTGGGGTCTACATTCTGAGGAGCTTCTGTCCTATAGACCTCAGAGAGGCCATCCAGAGACCAACTCTCCACCTCTGGTACCTGGGACCCAGGTCTACATGGGGCTGAGCAGAAACTTCTTCCACCACAAAGCATTGAGAGCCCAGTAGCCGGTGCTCTGTGGACCCAGACATGCCCCCAAACATACCCCCCCACACACATACATACTATTGCCACACACACCACGTATGTGGTTTCTCTCCCAGCTGATCAGACAGCAGCCTCAGTGCCCAGTGAGGCATCCACACTCCACCCTGAAGGGCCCCTCCTGCCCTGGGTCTGCACCTCTCAAGTGCTCCTCCTTGGGGGGTACTGGAGACCCGGTGGACACGTGTCAGCCCACAACCCGTGAGGGTCCTGAGAGCAAACCCCTTAACAGAGCTTAGCTAAGAGGGCACACGGGGCTGTTAAGAGGTTGGCTGAAGACCGGGTGCAGTGGCTCACTCCTGTAATCCTACCACTCTGGGAGGCCAAGGCTGGAGGATCGCTCAAGGTCAGGAGTTCGGAACCAGCCTGAGCAAGACTGAGACCCTGTCTTTACTAAAAATAGAAAGAAAACTCTGTCGCAAAAAAAAAAAAAGACGGTTGGCTGGAAGGGCAATCGGGGTCTTGCCTCGCTGATGTAGCCAGACCAAGTGCCCAGAGAGCCAAGGTGAGGGGCGAGTTGGGCCCGCCCCGGCCGGCCTTGCCGGCGCCGCACCTGCAGAGGCTGTTCAAGGACAGCCCTGGAGAACGAAGGCTGGGAGTGGAGAGAAGACGTTGGGGAGACAAGGGCCCCGCATGCACCACTCCTCCGCGCACAGCCACTCCCCGCGCCCCGCTGGCGGCTCCTTTCCTTGGGACACAAAGCTTCTTGCAAAAGAGGAGGGAAGGGGGCCGGGAGGGGCTGGCGGCAGCAGGAGGGTGAGTGTTCAGGGGAAGCGGGAACACCCGGAGAGACAAAGCAGGTTGCTTCCAGACGCAAGTCAGGAGTCACCTCCTCCAGACAGCCTTCCTGGCCTTCCCAGACTAGTTTGGGGACCTTTCTGTTGCCATGCCCACAGTTGGCGCTGCCTGCTGCTGTCCTGGGTCTGTGTCCCTGGCTCAGGCCCGTTCTGGGACCAGGGCTCTCGGTTGGGAGGGCCCCTCCCAGCGAGGGGTGAGGCCGCAGGTTTGCCTGCCCGGACGCCCCATCCCCCATCTCGGCCCCCTTCCCGCCCCTCCCCCGCCTGGGGCGCCCCCCGCACGAGACACACAAAGGCCGGTGCTCGAGCTCCCGCTGCGGGTTTGGGCCCAAGTCCCCCAGGTCGGAGGACGGAGCGGATCACATCTGGCCCGTCCCAACCCCAGGGGTCTCCGAGAACTAGGGGGAGTGCGGGGCTGCGGGGGGGGGAGGGAGGGGGCGGTCCGAGCCGTGGGGGGCGGGTCCGGCCGGGTGGGGAGGGGCGGGTCGGCCCGGTGGGAGGGGCGCCGGCGGGGCGCGGCGTCCAGGCGGCGGCGGCGACGGCTGCTCAGTGTCCGGCTCCGGCTCCGCCGCGGCTCCGCCCGCGATGCCGCACTCGGTGACCCTGCGCGGGCCTTCGCCCTGGGGCTTCCGCCTGGTGGGCGGCCGGGACTTCAGCGCGCCCCTCGCCATCTCGCGGGTGAGTGCGCCGGCGGCGGGTGGCGGGTGACCAGTCCGAGCCCGGGTCCCCGCGATCCGCCCGGACCCAGATCCCCGACGTGTGCGAGGCTTGACGCGGAGGGTGGCCCGAGTGACCCGCGCGCTGTAGACGCGGCTTCCAGACCGGCCCCGGCCCCTCCCCTCCTGCTGGAGAAAGTCCCCCGGTCCCCGGAGAAAGTCCCCATCCCTGGAGGATGTCCCCGCCCGCCCCGTTAGGGGTTCACCGGGGGACCAGGGGTCCGGGCAGATGCGCAGAGGTTCGGGAACTCTCCTCAGACACAGCTCTGCCCGCAGATTTGGGGCCAAATGAGCGAGAGCCCCTCCCCCCATCAGGGTCCCTGCCGGCAGACCTGGCTGACCCCAGGGGGTCTAGGGTCCGTCTCTCAATCTGAGAAGGGTCCGTCCACTTCCCCACTTTGGGCCTTAGTCTCTCATTCACGACCTCAGTCCCCCTGAGGGGAAGTGACCAGGAGGAATTTTTGGCTTCTAGGGGAAGGAAGACTTGACTGTGAGGCTGTGAGACCCTTCCCTAGGGGACAACGCAAAGCCAGGGCCCAGGACGCAAAGCCAGGGCCCAGGACGCAAAGCCAGGGCCCAGGACAGCCAGGCCGGCTGCTAAGGGTTCCAGGGGAGGGGGCCGTGCCCTGCCCCAGAGGAGGAAGAAGAGGGGGCACACCCCGTGGGTGACTGGTCTGAGGACAGAAGAGCAGGGGAGGGGACCTGGGCCCTGTGGAAAGGGGTGCCCAGTCTAGGGGAGACAGGATCCGGGCCCAGCTTTGGGGTCCTCGTGTCTGGAGGGGCAGAAGAGGGGACTCAGACACTGTCCTTGGGGGGCCCAGCCTAGGGGACAGAAGAGAAAGAATTCAGGCCCTGCCCTGGGTGGCTCCAGTCTGGAGGGAGCAGAGGAGGTGACCTGGGACCCTCTGAGGCCACCCGTTGGTCCCACACAGGCTGCTGTGATCTTTGGGGACTGCGAGGAGGGACTGAGAACCCGCTTCCCCCACCCTACTGCCACCTCTCACCATGGGGCTGGGCCGGCTGGCCGGGCTCTCGGACTTCTCTCCAGTTCTAGGGAGGGGTGGGCGAGGGTGGAGCATGGAATCGTGGAATCCCATTTCTGGGGGCCGGGGTGACAGGCAGGCCCAGCTGTCCTGGGAGGCTTCCCACATCTGCCCTCCCCGCCAGGTCCCGGGCAGAGAGGTGGGCCTGCAGCACATCCTGAGCCCTTCACCCCCCACTTTCCTTTGGGGTCCCGGCTGGTGTGTGCCTGTGGAGCCGTGTCTGCCTGCGTGTGTCATGCCGCGTGTCCGCCGAGGGTGACGGTGGGGGTTCTGGGCCGGCCAGGCACCCTGGGCGTGAGGCCGCTGACAGGCTCAGTGACGGCCGCAGGCGGCGGGGAGCGGAGACATCTGTTGCCCACGCGGCCGCCTGGCCCTGAGGAGAGGCCTCCCCACGTCACAGTCACAGCGGCGCTTAGCGGCGGCCTTGTTTGGAGCTGCCTGGGGATGCAGGCCCCCGGCGGGAGGGCAGTCTGGGACAGGGTTTGCAGGAGGAGCCCCACTTGTCCCCCAAAGTCACGTGGCAGCAGCTCAGGCCCAAGGAGCCAGGACGGCTGAGCCTGGGCTTGGGTGGGATCTGGGGAGATTTTCGGAGCTGGTGGGGCGCAGGCTGCGGCTTGCCTGGCAGGTACCTTGGGGGCAGATCTGCAGGGACTGGTAATAGGTGGGAGTGTCCCACCAAGGGGCTCAGAATCCAGCCCCTCCCACGCTTCCAGGACCTTTCCTGCTCAGGACCCTGCAGGGAGGGACGGTGGGGGGGGGGGCTGGCTGCTGGGCAGGGCTGGGGGCTCACAGTCTCGGCCCACGAAGCCCTAGGGAGACCCCGGGAACAACATCCGGGGCTCCTTCCCCACAGACAGACAAATGACTGCCTGCTTTGGCCGAGCATCGGGGCAGGCCAGGCCCCCCATCATGGGTGTTGGTACCAGCCCCTGCCCAGCAACTCATCCCTGGAAGGAGCACCCCCATCTGCCCAGCCTCCGGTTGGGGTTCCACATGCCCTGGTGTCTCAGGTGGTCCTCACAATAGCCCTTGGAAGGAAGGCCTCCCTCTGGCCTCCAGGGTGGGGACACAGAAGCACAGAGAGGTCAGTGTACCCAGAGCAGCACCGTGGAGACAGGAATCCGGGCCTGTGACAGTAGGAGACTATTGAGACCTGAGGCTGATGGTGGCAGCTCCCACTGCAGCGTCTGGGCTGGGCGGAGCAGGGCCGGGAATGCAGCTGCCACAGGTGAGGGGCTGGTTCACGCCCCACCTCCCACCTGACATCACTATTCCTGTCTCCCTTTCTTCTTTCTGCTTACCCTGCACTTTAGCAGCTAGAAGCGTCAGCCTAAATTCAACTCTGTCCTGTGACTTCCCTGCTCAAAATCCTCCGTGGTTTTCTACCCCTCAGGAGAAATGCCAGCGTCCTGCATACCTGGGTGTGCAGCAAGAGCCCTGCACCACCTGCTCCCTGCCTCTTCTATGCCCTCTTCATCTGTACCCTCTCCCCCCACTGACCACGCTCAGGCCACACAGGCCTCCTTCTGCTCTGCCTCCAGATGCCATGCTGGTCCTTCCACCTGGAACACCACCTCTCCCCAGGATACTCTCTCTCCCCTCACTCCTGTTTGAGGAAAAGCACAGTGATTAAGAACATAGCTTTGAATTTGGGAATCAGTTGGCTTGGATTGAAATCTTGACTCAGCCATTTATCAATTAAGTGTCCACAAGTGACACTGTACTTCTCTGGACCTCAGTTTCTTCATCTAGGAAATGGATCTGCCTTGAGGATTAACGAGGCAATGCATGTAAAGGTGGCTTGGGAGAGTCACAGTTTCCTGGCCTTGCGCCCGCTCTGACCAGAATGCCCCCTCCCCCCAGCTAAACGGGGCTGGCAGCATCCCAGCCACCCCTGCTTTCAAGAAACTTCCTCCGCCCACAGAAGTCTGAATGCGCCCCTTGTGCTGGCTGAGTCATCTATAGCTAGCCACCCCTCTGAAGACGACAACAGTGTGGGGACAAGGGCAAGGTGTCCTCCCCAGGCCTCTTTTCCCGTATCTGTAAAATAGGGATGAGACTCTGTCACTCAGTGGTTGAGCGGTTGCCGTGAGCTAGTTACCGGTCAGCTCCTGAGCCCAGGCCTGGCACGGAGCAGGTGTCCACCAAGGGGAGGGGCCCTGGGGGAGGAGGGATGGTGCCAAGTGGACAGGACAGGCGTGTGCAGGTGCCCGGGCCCTGCAAGTGCACGTGAACGTGGGCTGGCTGGCGGAGGGTGTCACGCCTCAGAAGAGGAACATTCTTGAGGCAGCCTGTTTCAGGGCCGGTCAGCTTGGGCAGTGCCCACACCAGGCCCCCAGCCAGGGAGCTGCCAGCACCTCGGCTTGTCCACGCACTACCGGGAACTGGCTGAGCAGGCCTGGGGGGCTCCCAGGAGCTTCCACCAACACCCACGGGGACAAGGTCCCTGGCGGTTCTGAAGTCATAGCAGGGTGCTGGCTGGCAAGGCTGGGTGAGAATGGGGGGGGCCTCAAGTCTATTTCTAGAGGCCATGTTGGGGCTAGGACAGGCCGGGGGGCACCCTGTGGCCTGAATTCCCCTTGCTTGCTTGCTCAGGTCTCTCTGTGAGTCTAACTCTACCTGCCTCATGTGACCTGCATCACATGACCAGCATTGTAGCAGCTTCCAGATGTGGACACTACTTGGCCCCGTGGGGTCAGTGGTGGCACTGAGGCAGCCTGAGTGCCCGTCCTGCAGGGAAGCAAGGGCGGCATTCTGACCTGGGGTGCGAGTGCAGCTGGCACCGGGCAGCCCTGGCCTGGCCTGCAGAGGGGATGTTCAGACCTCCCCACTTTAACTGTGACGAGGTGTCAACGTCCACAGGAGAGGTGAGGGGCACTCAGGGTACTGAGAGAGCCCAGAGGAGAGGCTCCTGGAGGAAGTGGCCTCTGTGCTGGGACCGGAGGATGAAGGTTTGGGAGTCAAAGGAAAGAGAGCTCCAGGTGGGGGGAAGAACTGCCTTTGCAGAAGGGTGGAGGTGAGACACCTGGCGCCCGTGAGTGTCCCATAGACATTTAGATGATCTGGACAGAGTTGGGGGGGGGAGGTGAGAGCAAGTCTGTAGGAAGGCAGGCTCTCAGGTTTGGATGTTAGGTCAGGGGGGTGCCATGCTGGGTGGGGCACTGTCTGTGTAGGGCGTTTGTGACATGCCCATGTGCTGTATGTATCTGAATACACATGTCCCTGTGTGTCTATGTGTCCCTTGAATGTCTTTGGGCACGTTCAGGCTGCAAGAGTGACATCCACTTGTCCCGGCCCAGAGGAAGCCCTGCTCGTGTATGCTCACCCCCTGCCAGGCCTGCAGGTGCTGGAGTGGGGGGTTCAGAGCAGAGGCTGCAGCAGGACCACATGGGGACCTCCCTCAGCCTCCCAGCTTGCCCACCCCCAGCCCTGCGGGCAGCTGCGCCAGCCGGGTTCTGAGGCTGGAGGAGTCTAGAGCAGAGCCTGCAGCAAGGCCACGTAATGACGGTGCCAACCCTCCGGCTTGTCCCCCACAGGTCCACGCTGGCAGCAAGGCCGCGCTGGCCGCCCTGTGCCCGGGAGACCTGATCCAGGCCATCAACGGTGAAAGCACAGAGCTCATGACACACCTGGAGGCGCAGAACCGCATCAAGGGCTGCCACGACCACCTCACCCTCTCCGTGAGCAGGTGCGCCTGCTGCAGGCTGGGCTGGGAGGAGGGGACAGTTGTGGGCAGCCACACCCCGGGGAGCCGGACCTCGCATGGCCTGCTGCTCGGGTCCCGGGCACCCTAGCCAGGCAGGGCCCGAGGAGTGGGGCTTTCGTGGGATCTGGCAGGGCCTGTTTAGAGCTGGGGTAGCTTAGGGAGGGAGGAGGTCCCCTTTTAACTTGAGGCTGGAAGTGTGCTGGGTGCTCGTGGTGAGTGTTACCGGCACCTAGAATAAGCCTGAGTAGCCTCTGGGGTGTTTGTTTCAGTCATTTCCCTTCCCCGAGTGACCAGCTTAACGACCATTTCAAAGCAGTTTTTTGTCCAACACCTCGTTTAACCCTCAAACCAAGTTTAAAAAGGTAAAATCTGACGTAGTCTCCACTTTACAGATGAGACAGCTGAGGCCCAGGAAGGTTGGAGGTGCTTACAGCCACACAGCCAGGGAGTGGGAGGCAAAATTCAAACTCGGGTCTCCCTCACTCATAAAGACTCTGGTCCCCCCATGTGGCTACTGACCAATCCTACCAGCCCCCCACAGCAGCCCTGCCTCCACTGTCCCCACCAGGGCCCGCACCTGTGTCCTTGTTACCTCTGGATTTGGGAGGAGCTTTCTGCCAGGGACTGCATGATCCTGCGCAGCCCGTCACGGGGAGGAGAACGGGGTCACCAAGCCCAGCTGTGCCTCACAGGGGTCCTAGGACAGAAAGCCCACCCCAGGGTCGCCCAGCCCTGCTCAGGTCCCGGGTCTTTTTGTGTGTGTGTGTGTGAGACAGAGTCTCACTCTGTTGCCTGGGTTAGATTAGCTCACAGCAACCTCAAACTCCTGGGCTCAAGTAATCCTCCTGCCTCAGCCTCCCGAGTAGCTGGGATTACAGGCATGCGCCACGATGCCCGGCTAATTTTTTCTATATATATTTTTAGTTGGCCAATTAATTTCTTTCTGTTTTTTTAGTAGAGACGGGGTCTCGCTCTTGCACAGGCTGGTCTCAAACTCCTGACCTCGAGCGATCCTCCCACCTCAGCCTCCCAGAGTGCTAGGATTACAGCTGTGAGCCACCACGCCCGGCCAGGTCCAGGGTCTTTATTCAGTTCTGACAAGCGCTTGGGCTCACCCCGGCTGAGTGGGATCTCCCTGAGCCCTGCCTCACTCGGATTCACAGCAGTCGGACAAAACTGCTCAGCCCCGCCGCGTCCACTGTTACAGGGACTTTCCACGAGCCCTGTGGAAGTATGTGGGCGAAGCCTGCTCAAACCACAACACAGCTAACCACGCCTGGGAGCTGGCGGGGTGGGAGGAGTCCACTGGCTCGGAGCCACTAACCGTGGTGGAAAGGCTGAGGTCGCCCCTGTTTGTGCCTGGCCCACGTCCAGCTCGGGGTCAGGTCAGGGCCCCTGGCTGTGCCCCGGCACCGAGCGGGCCCAGCTGCAAGCCTGGGCCGTGTATGCTCTGCCTGGCACACAGGGAGGGTGCCCCGGCCTTGGAGCTCTGCAGGGCCGGGCCTCATCTGGACTCCGGGGTCTTAGGTCAACCTAGGCTTCCTTTCCCATAGAATAGGACCGTGGTCATCACCCTCTCCCAGACTGATGTGCAGGCTGGACGGGGACATGTCAGCACTGCTCTGTCCACCAGTGGCCTCCCAGGCCTCCCACTTGGCGGGGTTCCTGGCCCTGACTCACCTCCAGCTTTAGCCCATGTGGCTGAGCGAGGGCGGCCCTGGCGGCAGTGGGGGTGGGGGTGAGAGGGGGCTGAGTCAGGAGATTCCCGGGGAGAATGATGTCAGGGCGGGTGGCGGGTGGAGGTCCCCCTTCCTTCCTTCCCTGGTCCGTTGTTCCAAGCCAGGCGTGCACGGACCTAGAGGTCCACTGACCTGTCCCACTCTGGGCATTTTAACCCCAAAATGCCGTTTGGCCGAGGAGCAGGTGCGAGCACGTCCTCCACGGTCCCAGGGCTGGCCCCAGGCCCAGGGCTGCATCCGGAAACCACGCCGTGCTCCAGCAGTGAGTTACCCTGAGCCTTAGTTGTCTCATCTGTAAAGTGGGGACAATATTAGGTTTTACATTTTCTAAGTTGGTTTGAGGGTTAAACGAGGTGTTGGACAAGAAATCGCTTTGAAATGGTCAGCAAGCTGGTCACTTGGGGAAGGGAAGGGACAGTTTTGTGATCTGGGCCTTGAGTGACGATGACACCCCAGGCCTGCTCAGTCAGAGCCACAGCCTCTCCGTCCCCATCTCTAACCTCAGGCACGCAGACTCTGGGGGACTAAGACGTGGGGGCCACCTTGACCCTCTGGGCCAACGTTTCTTCTCCTGGACCCCTCCTAGCTGCCAGGTCTCTGACTTTGCTCTCCATCCCGCCTGCCCTGCCAGGACCTGTGCCTGGGCCCAGAGACACGCTCTGCACACACAGCACGGGCTCCACCGGGGCCCAGCCGGGCGGCTGGCTGCAGTGAAGCTACTCCGGCGCTTCTCCCAGGTCCCTGCCCAGACCAGCTCCCTACCTGCCCTCTTGGGCACAGAGGCCTTCATCCCCACAGGCTCCCCCAGAATGAAAAGTGTGGTAAAGGCTCCGTTCCCACTAGGCTTATTTTGCCAGGAGCCCAAGGCCAGGCGTTCAGCAATCCAAGCCCAGCACTTCCTGGGCACGCGCTATGGGTCCAGGTCCTTCCTGTCATCAACTCCGGCCCTGGGGCCACTGACCAAGCTCCTGCTGCCCGTCACCTGTGGTCCAAGGTGCCTCTGCACAGCCCATCCTCTGGCTGTCACTTTGTCCAAAGACAGGCAGACGAAGCCACCTGCCCAGCGTGAAGTGGAGGCCTGGGGAGGGGTCGGCACAGGACTGAGCCCTTCATTCCAACCTGAGGCCTTCCCAGCCCTCACAGCTCTGGGCTCTTGGCTCCCTCTGACCCTGGGACCTCAGGCTTGTGTGTTTTCTGGGCATAATAACTTCAGGGAAATAGAAGGCCAAGTAGATACCCGAGATGTCCCTGGTTTATCCCAGCAGAGTCCTGAGCAGGTGGAGTTAGGGCAGTAACTTGGGAGCCTGGCTGAGGGGCCTGAGACAGAGACCAGGCCTTGTCCTGGGACAGCGGAGCCCTGACACTGAGGCCCCAGTGGAGAGGTGGCCTGCCCAGGTCCAGGGGATGGGCAGAGGTGAGGAAAGGCAGAGCGAGTATGGACGATGGGTATAGACAGATTAAAACCCTCAGCTGAGAAGGGGAGGGAGGCAGGGATGAGCTGCTAGGCCATTGGCAAGATGTCAGGAAGCCCCAGGGGGCCCCTCGGGGCAGTTAGGGGACATTGTTCCCTTTGTCCTCAGCAGCAGCCTCACTCCAAACCCACCGCCAGGGCCAGGCCGGGGTCCTCGTACCCTCCCCGCCTGCCTTCCCACGGGGCTACTGCTCAGCGAGGCCAGGCCCAGGCCGCAGCCTCTGGCCCGCCCGCCCTGCTCATGGCAGGTTTACGATGTTTTTCTCCCTCCTGAGTGGTGTTTGGGTTTTGGTTTCTATGGTGAAGCAGGAATTTCCTAATGGCCTGCTTCCCATCTGGGCTGGGCAGACATCAGGGATGACTCTGCCGGCCTCTGAGGGAGGGGAGCCCCCTCCAAGCCTCCATTCTGCCTCCCCCGGAGCCCATGGATGCTCGACACCAAGCCCCTGCCAGGGCCTGTGGATGCCGAGGGCTCCTAGCTCATTAGCGCGGGAGGCCTGGTCGTCCTGCCAAGAGCTGGGCTTCTTGAAACTGAGCTTCCGTGGGCCCCGGAGAGGCTAGGACAGTGGGAAGCTGCAGGGCTTCTGCTGCAGCCTCTCCAGGAGCCAGACCAGAGTGGGACAGGGTAGGGAAGGGGGCACACAGCCCTGCCCCAGGAGGGTGGCAGATCGAGGGTTGTGGCTTCTTGTAACGACAGCCACCGTCATGGTACAGGGGGAAGCACGGGAGTGGTGTCCCACCTGCAGGCCTGGTGGCTCTGGGCACAGAGCCTGCGCCCCTGGGTCCTGGCCCCAGGCATGGTGGGCATGGTGGTCATATGTAACTGACCATCTCAATTCCTGCACAGGCCTGAGGGCAGGAGCTGGCCCGGCACCCCTGATGACAGCAAGGCCCAGGCACACAGGATCCACATCGACCCCGACGCCCAGGTATGTGCAGACTGGGCTCGACCTGGCCTGGCTCAGAGTGAGCCCAGGGCAGAAAGGCTAGGCTTGGGCCACAGGGTCATCTGCACCAGATGTCCTCGCTGTGGCTCTCAGATGCCCAGGACAGAGACTGAGGCAGGAGTCTTCCCTGGGCTGTGCCTACACCCGTCCCGTGTTTCTCAGGTGACAAGCACCTGCTGTGGGTTCTGTCTCTACCTGTGGCAATCCTGGATTCTAGACAGAGGTGCCTATGATGTGCAAGGGGTTGGCTAGGCCTTGGCTTGGGGCTGCCACCCACCCGGCTGCAGTTTACCCTGTGGCCCAGTGTGGCCAGACCAGGCAGAAGTCCCCAGGCTCGGGGTGGGAAAGGTTGGTAGCAGCTTTAGGCTGTGGAGTGACCTCGGGCTGTGGGACACTCCTCTGCCTTGTCCCAGCCTTGGGTGCCCCACCCAGGCCTGAAGTTCTCTCCTGGCATCCTGTGGTTGCACCTGGCAGGCCTCAGGCTGCAGGCCTGTCTGCTCAGCCACCTTTCTGTGCCAGGCAGGAGTGGTCTCTGGTCCTGTTCTCAATGAGAGTTGAGGGGGCCGGGCTGCTCCGGCTCTAGGGCCTTGCTTTCCCGTGGGTATGGGGTGTAGACAAGTGGGCAAGACTGAGGCATCCAGAGCCTGCTGGACATCTGTGGGCCACAGAGTTTGGGCAGGATGGAGACTGGGCTGGTCTGGGGTGGAGCCAGAACCAGGGGACCCAGCATGTGGGACCAAGGCCTCCTGGGCCTGCTTCTGTCCACTCTCTCAGCTTGCAAGAAAAGGGACCAGAGCAGGGAGAGGAGGCTTGGCTGAGCCAGAGAGAAGGATCTACGCTGGTTCCTCCCTTCCCACCTACTCCACTCCCACTGTGCTCTGACGTTTGTCCCCTACCTTGCTTGGCCAGCATCCCTGAGGCCAGGTGCCCACCACCTGCCAGGGAGAGCCCATCCTGGCAGCAGGGAAAAGGCACTTTTAAGTTATGGGATGGGGGGAACCAGGGGCCAGAAGAGCCCAGAGCAAGCACGTGACTCAGATAAGGGGTCAGAGAGGACTTCCTGGAGGAGGGGTTTTCCAAGCCCAGACCTGAAGGCCTAGGAAGAATCAGACAAGCCGAAGGGCATGGGGAGAGGAAGTGTGCTCAGGAAGCACGTTCAAAGGCCCAGTGGTGAGCTTGTGCACCACGGGCTGAGGGGACAAACAGGTCCAAGGGGAGGGAGGGTAAGGTCGGAGGGGGGGGGCAGGGGCGAGGGATGAGGGGGTGGGGCAGACCACGGAGAAGCTACGTCTGTGTCTCAGAAGCTAGTTTTGGTGGCCTTGTGGGCCCAAGGCCCTAGGGCTGGGAGTAAAGGGGACAGATGTTGGCATATACAGATGAGCCCGGCTTGACCTGCGCCAGGCAGGAGGGAGCAGCTAGTGCAGGTCCCCAGCTTCCCTTGGAGGTGGCAGTGCCAGCAGGGACAGGATGGGGCCTGAGGTTTGGAATGTGGCACTCAGCTGTGTCCACTTCTCTAGGAGAGGCGCAGGGCCGGTGGGCCTGCAGGGCTGGGGGCCACGGAGCAGCTCCCCGCCCCCCGCTTATCCTCACGGACTCCCTCCAAGACCAGGCTGCCAGTGCTCAGGCTGGGGGGGGGACTTTCCACGGGCAGCAGGGCAGCCCCCCGCTGCCGCCCTACTTTTGTACTTAAAAGGTCATGGGCTCCATGGGTGGCGACAAAAACACCCCCACCCGCCCTGCAGGGCCGAACCCTCCCTGACACAGACACAGGGCCCATTGTCCCCGCGCTGCTCCCACCCTCTGCCTGCCAGGGGCGTTTGGCAAGGGCACAGGGAGCTAGCTGGTGCCATCAGAGGGGGAGGAGACCACAGCTGGCCCCAGGAGCAGCACAAGGTGCCCCCGGCACGTGTCCCCAAGGGGGAGGGGACAGGGCCAACTGGAGCTTCAGGCCCACCTTCCCTGGGGGGCTGGAGGAGACCCTCCTTCTCCCAGGCCGCGTGTGGGAACACAGGAGGCACTTGGCCCAGGCCAGGGTGCAGGAAGAGTGGTGATGAGGAGAGAGCTCCTAGAGGGAACGGCATCTAAGCTCAGAACCAGGTGATGGGCAGCCACAAGCCTGGGGGGAGCCGGCAGTCCTCGTGCGCTCAGCCTGTCCTGTCCACGCCAGCAGAGAGCTGGAACAGAGCCTCTGGGAGATGCCACCTGCTCACCTGGACATAGTATCTGCCTCTGTCCAAGTTAAGTGTCCCAGATTGTGATCTTAGCTGCTCGGGGGCTGATGAGCAAGCAGGTGCGTGCCCCCATTCTGCTGGAAAACCCACTGAGGCCTCCACACACATGGCAGCAGCAGGCCGGCACTTAGCGGCGGGGAGCACAGGGTCCGAGGTGCAGCACGCAGAGAGGGGACATCCAGGAACGAGGGCGCAGGAATCCCCATCGCAGCTGTCCCTCCCATGGCTGACTGCTGCGTGCCAGGCCCTGTGCTGAGTGCTCTGTGCGCAACTGTCTTCTTTCGTCCCCGCAAGGAACTTAATACAGAGACCATCACATTGCCCAATTCGAGGATGAAGAAACTGAGGGTCAGAGAGGTGAAGTGACTTGCCCAGTGAGGGAGTGACAGAGCTGGGACTCTCACCAGAACTGAGGTCACCACTGTGTCCTAATCCCTGAGTTCAGACCTAGAGCGGCGGCTGCATGTGTGGCCATGGGAGGGGCCAGGCACTGATGACCCTGCAGTGGCCCCCACACCCTGCTGGGCTGGGGGCAGTGAGGCCTCCTTGCTCCCAGTCCCCTTCCCACCAAAGCTTCCTCCCGAGGCCTGGCCCTACCCCCACCGACCACGGCCCATCTGGTCCCCATTAGCGGCCAGCCCTGCCTGCCCGCCCGGCAGACACACGTGTGAGAGTACTCAGGTTTCCTGGGGGCTTTTGTTGGGCCTGAGGGGGGTGGGGGTCTTCCTGCTGCTGCTGCTGCTGCTCTATTGATGGGGGCCCACCTAGGCTGCAAGACCCTCCCCTTTATCTGTTGGGGTGGAGGCAATGGGGAGCCCCCACCCAACTGCTGGCCTGCCCATTCCCCAGGCTGCTATCCTGGAGAAAGCAGGGGATGGTAGGGCAGAGCCCTGCAGGGGCGACTGTGCCTCAGTGCTGGAGGCTACTCGAGTGCAAACTGGGTTCTTTCTCGCTGGGGTAGGTGTCCTCTCCTTCCTACCCAGTCCCCCTGTGCACACGGTAGAGCAGAGGTTTACACGTCACCTCCCAGGCTAAGGCTGAGACCCAGGCCATGGCCTGGACTCAGGGCTCACCCTAAAATCAAGTTGCTCTGGATGCCAGCCACGGAGGCCACCATGGTCATTTCCATCGTGTCTCATGCTGGCTCCAACTATATATAACCATGTATGTATGATAAGTCATGTGTAGGTGGACTGGCTGGTGCATGTATGTTGTTCTTATGCATGTGTGTAACATATTTGTGAGAGTATACATGCCCCTGTTCACACTGCTGTGCGTGTGCTTGCGTGTGCTTACAAGTTGGAGGCAGCACAGCTCTGCACCCAGCAGGGACAAAGAGTCCCCAGTTCCCACCCAAACGCACACCCACAGATCACTGCCCTCTGCTTATGAGCTAAGGGGCATGTTCAGGGCACTCCTCCCCAAAGTGTTTCAGCCACGGGCACAGGGCTGCCCAGGGGGTAGTGGGACGGGGAACCTTGAGCCCTGGCCCTGCCCCTCACCTGCAGTGCCCACAGCAGGCTACCTGCTGTGACCTGGGAAGCAGGAGATGGGGGTACAGTGCAGGCCTCAAAGAGGCTGACCCCACAGCAACACTCTTGAGCCTCAGCCTGCCCAAAGGGCTTTGGCCACACAACAATTAAGGACCCTTCCAGGCTGCAGGACAGGAGTTACTTGCCTTTTTGTGTTCCCAGCCATGGGCCAGTACCCAGCACAGCTGTGGCAGGTGGGAAGGGTCAGCACCAGGACCTCCTCTGCCACCCTGGCCTTAAAAGGCTTCTTGAAGACTGGATGCAGTGGCCACGCCTGTAATCCTAGCACTCTAGGAGGCCGAGGCAGAAGAATCACTTGAGGTCAGGAGTTCGAAACCAGCCTGAGCAAGAATGAGACCCCATCTCTACTAAAAATAGAAAAAATTAATTGGCCAACTAAAAATGTATAGAAAAAATTAGCTGGGCATGGTGGCGCATGCCTGTAGTCCCAGCTACTCTGGAGGCTGAGGCAGGAGGAGGATGGATGGCTTGAGCCCAGGAGTTTGAGGTTGCTGTGAGATAGGCTGACCCCACGGCACTCTATCCCAGGCAACAGAGTGAGACTCTGACTCAAAAAAAGGTTTCTTGGGCTGGACCTGCCCCAACCCCGTCCCTCACAGGTCATGGGCCTGGGTGGAGTCTCAGGTGCTCTGGTTTCTGTGTCTGACTTTCCAAGGGCGTTTCTACTTTTGCAGGGGTTGAACCAGGCCTAGGGCTCAGCCCTTCCCCGGAAACCCCTTCCCTGGCTGGGCACCATAGCCCTGAGATGCCAGAGTGACATCCACCGCCTGGGGGAGGTGGGTGAACAAGCAATGGCCAGAGTCTCCCAGAGCCTCAGGCCTCTCTCTCACAGGATGCCAGTCCGGCGACCAGCAGGCGGCCCTCGGGTGCTGGGATTGGGCCAGAAGACGGCAGGCCGAGCCTGGGGTCTCCGTATGGGCACCCCCCTCGCTTTCCTGTCCCTCACAATGGCAACAGCAACGAGGCCACCCTGCCAGCCCTGATGAGCGCTCTGCACGTGTCTCCGCCCCCCAGGTAGTACGCAGTCCTGACCTTTGAAGCCACACCCAGATCCCATCCTAAACTCTGAGCGCTCAAATATCACCAAGTCCCATCCTGACCCCTGACACTTGATCTTTGGGTCTCCACCGGTTGCATTCCTACTCATAAAACCTCCCCAGACCCGGCCACCAGTAGAGCACAGGCTGAAACTGCAACCCTGCCCCCACTTCATCTCCCTCTCCCCAGCGCCGACCCAGCCAGAGGCCCCCCGCGGAGCCGGGACTGCAGAGTGGACCTGGGCTCCGAGGTGTACAGGATGCTGCGCGAGCCCGCCGAGCCCTCTGCCTCGGAGCCCAAGCAGTCTGGCTCCTTCCGCTACCTGCAGGGCATGCTCGAGGCGGGCGAGGGCGGTAAGACCCTTGACCCCTGACCCCACCTGCCTTGCTCCTCCCTGCGGTGTGCGGAACCCCTCCCCCAACCCCTGCCGCCTGCCAGTCACCTGCACTGTCCCGGCATGGCCCTTGCGCCCTGCCCGCCAGCCCCGTCCCCAGGCTCAGTGCCAGCGGCCCCAGGAGCGGGACCCACCCGAACCCCCCACGGAAGCGGAGCTCGGACCTCCACCGCCGGCTCACGGCCCCGTGCTCCGCGTTGCAGGGGAGCGGCCCGGGCCCGGCGGCCCCCGGAACCTCAAGCTGGGCGCCCCGCTGAGCGGCCTGCAGGGGCTGCCCGAGTGCGCGCGCTGCGGCCGTGGCATCGTGTGAGTACCGCCCGCCCCGCCCCGTCCCGCCCCGCCGCCCTCCGGGCCCTGCGAACCCCCCCGTCACCGCGCTGTCCCCTCCGCTCCCGCCACCAGGGGCACCATCGTGAAGGCGCGCGACAAGCTCTACCACCCCGAGTGCTTCATGTGCAGCGACTGCGGCCTGAACCTCAAGCAGCGCGGCTACTTCTTCCTGGACGAGCGGCTCTACTGCGAGCGCCACGCCAAGGCGCGCGTCACGCCGCCCGAGGGCTACGACGTGGTGGCCGTGTACCCCAACGCCAAGGTGGAGCTCGTCTGAGCCGGGCCCGTCCCCGCCCCTCTGTTTTCAGTGTCCCTGCGCGGCCCGTGTAAATACGCGTCTCCCCCGCCCGTCTAATAAAGTTCCTACCCCCGGCCTCGAACCTGTGTCCGGCCTGCTGTCCTCCGGAGTAGGCTGTGGCTCCCGAGTGCAGGGACATCTGTTCATGTGCCAGGCGTGCCCTGGGCACTGAGTGCCATGCGGAGCAAGGCAGGCACCCTGCTGCTTTCAGGGGGCCGCAGCCCGGGTGGGTGCCAGCCCTCCCATCACAAGGGGCGTGTGTATGAACAGAGGCGAGGCCTGGGGTGCTGCGACGCCAGGTCGAGAGGGCAGGGGCGATGGGGTGGCAGCTAAGAACACGAGAGAAGGGAGGCGAGAGCTGCACAGGTGTGCAAAGGTGAGCCTGGTCAGCAAGGGCACATGTGGCGTCGCGGCCCCTGCAGCCTCGGGACCTGTCGCCCTGCAGAGGAGGTCGCTGGGGCCGCCGCGGACGTCTGATCTTCCCGGGGTTCTCTCTCCGCCCCCCACTTTCTCCTGCCGCTGCCCCCACCCCTTCGTCCCTTTCCTCTTTCCCCGCTAGGGGGCGCGCTTCCTTTTCCAAAGAGAAGGAAAGGGAGGTTTCTGGAAAGATCTCTCGCCTGGGACTGCTACCCACCAGGACGCTCCCCTTCCCCCCCCCACCTCCCCCAGGCCCGGCGCTGCCGGGAGCGGGTCCGCCCTGGGCCCTTCCAGCCCCGGCTGCACGCACGGGAGACTCACACTTGCAAAAACAGATGCCATCAGAGTCGGTGGACTGTGGCTGTTCACACTAGACGCGTGCTGGGCCCCGGGTGGCGCGGATCCGCCCTCCAGGCCGCTCGCTCCGGGTGAGAAACCGACTCACGGCACTCAGCGCCTGCGTATTGAGCGAGCCCCAGTGACACACGTGTCTGCTGTTTTCAGTTTTGTGCCGTCACAATTCACACTCTCCCCACTGCACGCGACAGTGCCCGATACAGGATATTTTATTTGCTTTTTCTTTTTTGCCAGTCTGATACGTGTAGTGTGGTATGCCATTGTCTTAACGTGCATTTCTCTGGTTGCCAGCGGTGAGCGTTCGGTCACTCAACAAACATCTGTGCTGTGCGTTTGCGCTGCCCAGAGCTGAGGGGACAGAGTAGACCTCCCGCTCTGGGAGTGGTTAGCTCTGCACGTTATTCCTGTGTGATGACCCTAAACCCTTCACTCATTTTTCCAGGGTTTATTTAACTTCTTTTCTGGGTGGTGGAGACATTGAGAATGGTGGGAATGTTTGTTTTCTTTAGATTTCTCCTATTCAATTTTTAGGTTTTCTATACTGTACCTCTCATTGTCATAATGAGATATAACTGTTATAGAGGGACGTTCCTTATTAAACCTATTTTTAATGATGGATAGGAACTTTTTATGGTCTTGTTAAGAAATTTTTGTTAAAGGATTCCATCCCGCTGGTCTATTTTCCTATTGGTGTGATAAATCACATTGCTGGCGGGGGCACGGTGGCTCACGCCTGTAATCCTAGCACTCTGGGAGGCTGAGGCAGGAGGATCGCTTGAGAGCGAGACCCCTGTCTCTACTAAAAATAGAAAGAAATCAGCTGGATAACTAAAAATATATAGAAACAATTAAGCCGGCGCATTGGTGGCACATTGCTGTTAGTCCCAGCTACTCGGGAGGCTGAGGCAGGAGGATTGCTTGAGCCCAGGAGTTTGAGGTTGCTGTGAGCTAGGCTGACTCCACGGCACTCTAGCCCGGGTTACACAGTGAAACTTGTCTCAGAAAAGATAGTATCACATTGCTTTACTTACAGCCAGTCTGTCCTGGTTTTTCACTTACAAGCAAGTCAGGGCCATTCTCATACATTTCCAGGTGTCAGAAGCTCACAGCCCCGCGCCAGGCTCTGGAGGGACAAGCCTCTCCGAGGCTGGAGTTGCCGGAACCTAGATGCTCTAGATGCTCGGTGGCCTGGAGCTCTTTCCTCCGGGAGAGGACTGTGACCTGCACTTATCCTGCATTTACTTAGGTGCTGTGTACTCTTCTTACAAATGTTGATTTCCGTTTTCTTCTGGTTAGGTTTGTTCCAGGGATTCCTTCCAAAGGCTCCTCCTGCCGCCCCTCCCTGCCCCAGGGAGGACAGCAGGGGCGCTGGCAGGTGCCCCGGGAGAAGCGAGGCGAGGCTGGCAGGGCCTGAGTCGTGGGCCCTGGAGCCCCCGACCGCGTCCCGCCCTCGTCCCCTTCTGCGCCCAAGGGTCAGACCGTGGGCAGCGAGGGGCCGGCCCGAGCACCGCGAGTCCCCGCGCACGCAGACTCCCGCCGCCCGCGGCCACACCCGAGCAGGGCTGGGAGACTCCGCCCTCCCCTCCGCGCCCAGCCTCGCCCCTCGCTTGGTCCCGGCCCCGCCCGGTCACAGGCGGGAGCGAAGGCGGGTGACCGGCAGCCAGGGAGGCCGTTAGGCACTGGGGCGGGTGGAAAAATACAGAAAGCCGTGGGCACAGGCCCTCAGCCCGCGTCCACACTGACCGCAGACTGGGCTCCCCGCCCCACTGCAGCCGCACGTGCGCCAGCCGCGGTTCTCACCTTAACGCCCGCCCAGACTGGCTACAAGCCCCTGCCCCGCAGGGACCACCCTCCCTGGCACCCTCGGCTCCCCAAGACCAATAGCTCGACCGCCACCCCGCCACCCACGAGGCGAGGCGGCAGCAACCAGAGCAGCCCCTGCCTGGGAAGGGGGGGAGCTGTGGGGACTGTGGCTAAGGGAAGTGGCGCCCAAAACTGCCAGTCTGATCTGTCCTTTCCTTTTCCGCTTCAAGGCCCAGTCTCTGCCCTGTCCTCAGCCCACATCTCCTGCCTAGAGGCCCTGACTAGGCGCAAGTGCAGTGGATCATGAAAAGCTTGAGACACGGTCCTTGTGGGACAAGGTCTCCGTGGCCCCGGATCCCAGACCTGAGGGAGGAGACAGCAGAGTCTCTGTCCAGGATCCCCAACTCAGTGCCCCAGCCATCCTGGCCAGGAGCCAACCCTCACTGTTGTCTCCACATCTGCCCTGCCACAGGTCCTTATCTCAGGGGCCTTCCAACCAGAGACTTGGACGTGACCCTCTGCACCCTCACCCCACCATCCCACCCTGCCCATCACTATGTCTGGGGATCTGCCTCCTAAGCGTTTTTAGGGCCCCCTTCAGGGCAACTAAAAGAACAGCCTAGCTCACAGCAACCTCAATCTCCTGGGCTCAAGTGATCCTCCAGCCTCAGCCTTCAGAGTAGCTGGGACTACAGGCATGTGCCACCATTCCCTTGCTTCAACCTTCCCATAGCCTCCAGGGCCCTCAGGATGGAGTCCCTGATCCACTGCCTGTCATTTTTTTTGTTGTTGTTGAGACAGAATCTCACTCTGTTGCCCGGGCTAGGGTGCCATGGTGTCAGCCTAGCTCATAGCAGCCTCAAACTCCTGGCCTCAAGTGATCCTCCTGCCTCAGCCTCCGAGTAGCTGGGACTACAGGCATGCGCCACCATGCCCGGCTAATTTTGTCTATATATATTAGTTGGCCAATTAATTTCTTTCTATTTATAGCAGAGACGGGTTCTTGCTCTTGCTCAGGCTGGTCTCGAACTCCTGACCTCGAGCAATCCGCCCGCCTCGGCCTCCCAGAGTGCTAGGATTACAGGCATGAGCCACCGCGCCCAGCCTAGGGAAACACTTTAAACACACATATGGAATAGGTACAGACTGTAAGCAGTGCTCTCAAGTAAATAAGGAAGGTACTGCAGTAGAGAATATGTCATGCCTGCGTATAAGGAGTCTGGGAGGACCTTACAGATGAGCTAACATGGGGGCCAGAGGCCTGAGGTGGTAGGAGAGCACCTGTGGAGGTAAGTGGGGGAATTGCATTCCAGGCAGAAGGATCAGCACATACAAAGGCCCCGCGGGCTAGGCAGGGGAGCAGGCCTGTGCGCTGGGTTCTAAGAACAGCAAGAAGTGCTGGAGCTGTGAGTAGCAGATTCGTCAGAGACATGTGGGCGTGGGGAGGCTGACCGCGTTGGCCCTTGTAAGCCGTTGGTTCTGCGGGGAGCAGCCTATGCAGACCTACCACCCTCCAAGGGCTGAGGGAGCAGAGAGGCTGAAGAAATTAGCTGACAAACCCAGTTTCTCAGAAAGCAGCATTCAACAGGGAGCGGCATCTCGGCAGTATCTCTGGTGGCCGTGAGAGGGCGGGTCCCTGCACGGCCCTCCAGAAAGTATTCTTTATGCAGTGAGCTGTAGGGTAAAGCACACAGCTGGTCACACCTTCAGACTTTCTTGCCAAGTCCTGTGACCACTGGGGAGGCTAGATAGGCATCTTTATGAGTCCCTGTGCTACAGGTATTGTTTAAGGATCTTCCTGCAGAACACCTTGGTATGTGGAGTCAAACATAGGTCATATCAGGGCAGTGAGTTTCTGTCGCTGTTGCTGTGCAACTGGCTGTTTTCCTGCAGCCACGGTAAGGACTTTGGCTTCTACGCTGAGACGGGAAGCCGCAGGGGTGGCATGACCTGGAATTATGTTTTAACCAGGCTCACTCGAGCTGCCGTATGGAGACGAGACCCTGAGGAGCAAAGGTGGAAGCAATGAGACCAGCTAACAGGCATGACTGCCTTCCTCCCTGATTCCTAACCAGCCTTCCACCGCCTCTGCCTTTGAAGCTCCAGCCCTGATCCAGGCCCCACGGTCTCTGGTCTCCGGCCTGGGGAGTGTAATAGCTTCCACCTGGCCTCCCAGTCTCCCGTCTGGCCCCTTAATCCTTTCTCCACATGACAACGAAGGGAGGTTTTTAAAATGCAATTCCATGTCACTCCTGTCCATTAACGCTTCCTTCTTGGTGCCTTAGGACAAAGTCTAAATTCCAAATCCTGGCTCACAAGGCCCCAGGGGGTGCAGCCGGCTGACAGCTCTGACCAGGGCTCTGCTGAGACTCCTGGAAGCTTCCTGGACCCTCCCAGGAGGCTGAGAAAAAAACAACTGAGTGCTACCTTCTGGTTCTCTGATGACAAGCTTTGTTACTCCCCACCTTCCTCCCTGAGAGCCAAAGGAGGGGAGTGGAGGAGGAGCCCAGATGGCTGCTCCAGGCCTGCCCTCCCTTCCTGGCCTAGGACCCAGCCCCTCCAGGGGGTGCAGCAGCCTGGCCCTGGCTCCCAGCTGTGAGCGCTGAGCTGGATGGGGTGGGGTGGGGCGGGCTGTGACCCACACCGTGATGCCCAGGAGCCCGGGCTGTGGCCCCGAGAGGCCCTCTGCCCCACCTGGGGAGCACCAGGGAACACCTAGCCTCCTCCTCCCCCCGTCGGGTCCTCCTGTCCAGTTCCATGCACCCCAGTGCTGTCCTGGACAACTCGTTCTTACCCAGGGTGACAGCTGCTTGTCCTTGAACCACCGGTCAGCCTCTTCTCAACACTGGGTAGCTTCCTGGTTTATCATTTTCCCACACGATCGTCTGTGTTTCTAACTGTTCCCTCAGCACCTCTGAATGGAGCTGGCACCTCTTAAAGGGTCTAATAGCAAGCAGTGTCCTGTGCCCTCCTGCCACACCTGGGAAAATCTGGGTCCCCAAGGAAGCCAAACCCCATCTTTGCTAGTGTCGGACGTGGACCCATTTGTGGCTGGAAGGAAGAGACTGGAAATCCCAGGAGAGGCTGCCAGAGGCCTCACCGGTCCCTGCGGGGTCTGGGGCCAGCCTCAGCCGCCATCTCAGAAACCCCACTACTCGCCATACCCAATCTCTACTAAAAGAAAAATAGAAAGAAATTAGCTGGAAAACTAAACATATATAGAAAAAATTAGCCGGGCATGCCTGTAGTCCCAGCTACTCAGGAGGCTGAGGCAGGAGGATTGCCTGAACCCAGGAGTTTGAGGTTGCTGTGAGCTAGGTCAACGCCACGGCACTCTAGCTCGGGCAATAGAGTGAGATTCTGTCTCCTAAAAAAAAGGTAGTAGAAATCCCAAAGAACAAGGGAGAGACTGCTAATTAAAGGTCCTATGTACTAATCCAGCACCATAATTCCAGTCATGGAGTCTCCCAAGTAGCTGGAAGGAGGGTATGGAAAGAGGTGGAGATGTCTTTGCGTCTAGCCCCGTTTTTTTGCTGGAAGGCAACACGTGGTCTAGGAAAGAAAATCGCAGAGGCTGGAGAGGAAAACAAAAGCTTTTGGTTCAGATGGTAAAGGAGCCCTCAGGGGTAGGAGCATCGGAGTCCCTCTCAAGAACTAGGGAGTTTGTCCTTAGCGCTCAAGTCCTTTTTAATTTCTTCAAGCCTTTTAGCCAGGTTTGGTCTGTCATAGCTTGGAGCCAGATACACTCCGACCACTTTGCCCAAAGTTAATCCGAGCAGGAACTGGAGCATGATGTCGGCCTGGAGGGCAGATAGGCGTCTATGGTCTGACCTCTGTCTGCACTGGTATTGGCCTCCCTCCTCCCCAGTCCCTTACTACTGTCCCTTTAGGTCCGTTCCCAGATAAATCACATGCACACAGACCCTTGAGGCAGGCTCTGTCTTCAGGAGGAATCCCAGCCTAAGAACTGCTCTCAGGAGAGGCCCTAGAAAGCAGACCTGCAGGGAAGGGCTCTAGCAGGGGGTCATCCACCTTTCCAGCAGAGACAAGGCCCTCACAGCTGCTGGTAGAGGGTGGTGACAACCCCTGGCACAGGACATTACTGACCGAGACTCCCTGGCACGGTGGATGAGAATGAGATCCAAGAGGAAGGTGAAGCATCAGTTTGTTTCAGTGACTTTTCAACCAGGGGCAATTTTACCCCCCAGCAGAGGTTTAGCATTATCTGGATATATTCCTTATTATCACAACTAGGGGAGCGAGCTACTGGAGTCCAGTGGGCAGAGGCCAGAGATGCTGCTAACCATACTGAAATGCACAGGACAGTCTCCCACAACAAATAATTTCTTGCCCCTAATTGTAATAGTGGCAAGGATGAGAGAGCCTGATTATGGTTTTTAGAACATATGAGAACAATGGTGATTATTATAAGGATTATAAAATTGACTGGCTTTTGTTAATTGCTTTAGAAGCCCCAAACAAAGAAAATGACAGGCTCTAGCCTATTAAGTCAAGACCCACTGTGAAGCCAGGAAGCCTCCATGGCAGCTTGAAAGAGAACTTTATTTCCTGGAGCGACAAGGCAGAGTGTACTGGAAATCAAGCCCAGGGTTTAACTGTAAGGGTAGGAGAGCCACAGAAAAGACTGCATGCACAGCCTTGGTGGGTTTCCTGTGACAAAGTCATGGCCCTGTAGGACATGTGTGGAACCCAGGATCACAGAATGGGAACATTTGGGTAGAGTATTATGAGAATTCTGAATTCATGGTGTCCCCTAAACCTGCAAGGCTAGCAAAGGCGGCTCTCTTCCCCTTGCTGTAGAAGAGACTCTCCTCTCCTGCAATCCTGGCTGAGACTCCTCCTAAGGCAGGTGGTCTTGAAGATGATCCCTATTCTCTTAAAGATCCTGCCCCAGCCCCCTCGTTGCCTCCAAACGAATGACTAGGGTGAGGTGTCAGCACGGCCTCAGTGTGGAAATACAGGACCTGATTTGCAAGGCAACAGTGTGTGCCTTGGAAAATTACAGGACCTATATATCCTGGCAGGAACGGGGGGAACATGCATGAGCATTTATTAATCTGGAAGCACTCTCATTACTCAGGGATTAACATCCGCACAAGGAAACATAAAACCATCATCTTTGAAACCTGACACACAATTATAGCCTCCAGGAATGAGCTAAAGATGCCAGAACTTCCTTGGCAGAGTGCTGAAGGAGAATGTCAGATCGTAGTTATCACGCAAGACTGGGGAACCTGCCTCAGACGGTCTTGCCAAGCAAAGTCAGAGGACACTCTCTGCACCAAGGCAACACATGCTGTCCAGGCGGGGAGTCCCTAGTGTCAGCAGGGACGGTGGGATTCTGGGATGGTGGCATTTAAGCAACAGAGGCAGGGTGGATGTCGTCGCCACACAACCAAAGTGGCAACCAGTGAGCATGGACCCACGGGTTCTGTCTGTGGCGGTGGCTGATAGACCAGGGTGTTCCTTCTACATCGGCAGATGACCAGGTGACGCTCGGCTATCACAGTGGCAACAGCAGCACCCCCCAAATCAAGAGCTGGTAAGCAGAAGGCAGATGACAGCTGCCACCATGGAAAATGGTATTTCCTGACAAATCCCCCAGATCTAGGCCAGCTCTCAGGCTCAGAGCCTATTGATTTAACCACTTTAGTACCAGCGTCGACTGTAGTCAATGGCCACAGATGAACGCACACAGCAACTTTAGCCGACAGCTGTGATATAAAGGCGCACAGCCACGCGGCGACTTTAGCCGACAGCTATGATATGACTTTTCTAATTTTTCATTTATCAAAATAAAATTGTGAACATTTAAAAATAACGTGATGAAAACATATCTGTATATGTTACCTATTCTGATTTACACTACAAGTAAAGCTGCCTGTAAAGTAGAACAAGCTTTCAGTGCTTTCAAGCTTTCCTCATCACACAAGAGCAAAACGGACTCGTCGTCAATGCACAGCGCACGCTACCGTGCGGACTGTGCGTGCCGGCTGTGGGCGAGGTTTGGCAGCCGGTGAGCGCAGTACTGAAGTAGTTAAGGGAAAGCCAAGTCTCTTAATGGAAGAATCTTCCAGTGCTGCCCGAAGTATACATGAGAATTATTTCCCCGTAAGGAATCTTTGGTCTTTTACCAGAGTAGGTCTGGGAGGGAGGAAGGAAAGGACCCAGACCCTCAAGGGCTGTTGGGTGCAGAGTATGAGCTGGCAGCAATGCTGGGAGATGGAAACACTCTCATGGTCCCCCAATTAGACTGGGGGCTCCTGAATGCCAGATGACAGATGGAGTTCTCATGCAAGCAGATCAAGTGAGTCTGAGGACGGCATGCTCTGCTATCTCCCTGGTCCCTAAGTAGGTAACTGAGATATGATAGTTCTAGCAGCTACCAGCACCCTAACAGTTTACTCCCTGTCCCTTTAAGAGCCACTGTGGTTAGAAGTGCTCAGTGGAAGCTCCTGACACCCCACCTTTCTGAATGATTCATTAAGTCAGAAGTAAAACCACACCCTGGGTAGAATTGTAGAGATTAGTGCCAACATCAAAGATTTTCTTCTCAATATCCTTCCGCAAGGAGGATCAAAAGCTATTTGCTTTTATGTGGGAATAATAGCAGTACATATTCAATCTCTCACCTTGGGTTATGTTAATCCTCCTTCCCTCTGTTACAACAAAGTACTTAGTGACTTGCATTGTCTCAGTATTCCATAGGACATCATGGTGGTCCACTGTATTGGTGACATCATGCTAATTTGACCCAGTGAGCAGGAGTAAGCAAGTGCTCTAGACATCCTGGAGAGACACATCCATGTCAGAGGATGGGAGAGAAAAGATATGAAGATTCGTAGCCTTCCATATTGATCAAGTTTTTCTTGCCATTTTGTTCTAGAATTAGTTAAATGGATATAAAAGTAGACAAACTAGTAAAATGAACCGCTAGAACCACTATCACAGCCAATCTTATTCCATCTATATCCTCACTCACTTCTTCTATCCCATATTATTTTATTTTATTTTTTGAGACAGAGCCTCGCTTTGTTGCCCAGGCTAGAGTGAGTGCCGTGGTATCAGCCTAGCTCACAGCAACCTCAAACTCCTGGGCTCAAGCAATCCTCTGCCTCAGCCTCCTGAGTAGCTGGGACTACAGGCATATGCCACCATGCCCAGCTGATTTTTTGTATATATATATTAGTTGGCCAATTAATTTCTTTCTATTTATAGTAGAGACTGGGTCTCGCCCTTGCTCAGGCTGGTTTCGAACTCCTGACCTCGAGCAATCCGCCCGCCTCGGCCTCCCAGAGTGCTAGGATTACAGGTGTGAGCCACCGCGCCCAGCCCCAGTATTTTATTTACCACTTCTGTCTGAGCCTCTTTCCTGCACTGCACACTTGTCTCAGTCACAGTGTTGCTAAGCCCACAGGCTAACCCTAGCAAAAATGAGTAAAAAACAAATGTTGCTGGAGAGCTTCTTTGGAAAGGGGGAAAGACTAAATGATGCGACAGCAGAAGACTCTACGACTGCCAACAAAACGAAAGCTGCATTTAAAAGAAAATACCAAGAGTCCTGCTTAAATTATGGGTTCATCGAAACAGGTGATTCACATTCTCCAGGCTGCTTTTTATATGTGGCGACTGGCTACCCAACAAAGCCATGAGACCCTCAAAGTTCAAGCACCCTGCATTATACGACAAGCCTTTGGAGTTTTTCAAAAGAAAAAAAGAACATGAACGCAAAGAACAGAAGCAATTATTGAAGGCCACCACTCCATCAAATGTGTCTGCCCTGAGAGCATCACTCCTAGTGGCTAACCGGATTGCTAAAGCTAAGAAGCCCTTTCCTACGGGTGAGGAGTTGATCCTGCTGCTGCTAAGGACATTTGCCATGAACTTTTAGGAGAGGCTGCGGTGCAAAAGGTGGCACCACCACTAGATGAATTGATGAAATATCAGAGCGTATGGAGGCACGGCTATTAAGAGAGGGTTAATGAGTCGCCGTGGTATGCAATCCAGATTGATGAGTCTGCTTGTTTCTGTGCCATACATTTTTCAGGAGGATGCGCATGAGGATATGTTACGCTCACTTTTGTTCCCAACCAACACCACAGCTACAGAACTATTCAAGTCTTCGAATGATCACATATCAGGAAAACTGAATGGGCCATTTTGTGTCAGTATATGCATGGTCAGAGTGGCTGCCATGACTGGTGGCTTTCTGGTTTCACTACTTAGGTCAATGATGTCAGTTCTGGCTGTGAGTCTGCGCATTGTGTCATCCACGGAGAAATGCTGGCTAGCCAAAAAAATGTCACCTGAACTCAACAATGTTTTGCAGGATGTGATTAAAATTATGAACCACATGAAAGTACACGCCCTTAACTCACGTCTGTTCTTGCAGCTCTGTGTGGAGATGGATGCAGAGCACGCATGTCTTCCGTATACACAGACGTGAGATGGCCTTCTATGAAGGTAGATCACTGGCCAGAGTTGAGTTATGAGAGCCGCTCCAGAGATTTCATTGAGAAAAACAGTCACCACTGGCAGCACATTTCAGTGACACAGAATGGGTTGCAAAACTTGCTTACTTGCGTGACACATTCAACCTGCTCAACGAATTCGATCTGTCATTTCACGGGAGAACAACAATTGTGTTCAAATTGGCAGACAAAGTGGTTGCCTTCAAAGCCAAACTGGAATTATGAGAGCAACAAGTGAACACTGGGATTCTTGACATGTTTCAAACATTAGCAGAGATTTTGAAAGAGACTGAGCCAGGGCCCACTTTCTCCCAGCTGGTGCATGATCGCCTATCTCAGCTTTCAAGAGCTTGAGCACTACTTCCCAACCACGAAAGACCCCTGAACTGGGAAGGAATGGATCCATGACCCATTTGTGAACAAGCCAGGTTAATCAACTTTATCTGTGCTAGAATAGGATCAACCACTTGAGATCACAAATGACAGTGGCCTTAAAACTATGTCTGAGACAATTTCAAATTTCCATACGTTCTGGATTAAAGTCAAGGCAGAATATCCTGAGATTGCCACAAAAGCACTGAAAAGCCTGCTTACATTTCCAACACCCTATCTTCGTGAAGCAGGGTTTTCTGCAGTGACAGCAACCAAAACGAGATTATGGAGTAGACTGGGCATAAGCAACACACTTTGGGTGTCACTGTCTCCCATCACCCCGAGATGGGACTGTCTAGTTGCAGGAAAACAAGCTCAGGGTTCCCACTAATTCTGCATTATGGCGAGTTGTATAAGTATTTCATTATATATTACAATGTAATAATAATGGAAATGAAATGCACGATAAATATAACGTCCTTGAATCATCCTGAAACCATCCTCGTCCACCCTCCCATCCCCCGGTCAGTGGAAAAATTGTCTTCCCTGAAACCGGTCCCTGGTGCCAAAATGGTTGGGGACCACTGCTCTACAGGGTGTCCAACTATGTACGAGCTTCCCTACTGTTTGGTCCATAAAATCCAGCAGGTTCCATGGAGCTAGAATGTTCATAAGGCTGCTGGGTAGAGTCTCCAACAAGCCCTAAAGAAGAGTCTTGGTGCAGATCTCTAGGGTTCCACAGCAAGGACATGCCTCTACAGCAGAGAGTTATTTGACTTCTGAAAAGCAGCTATTTGGCCCCAGTAAAAACCAAGAGCCTGGCAATGGGACGGTAAGGGGCTGTGCAGCCAGAGATGCCTAGTGTGAGTTGGGAATTGTCAGATCCTACCAAGTCATGTGACTAGGCAGGCTCACCGGCCGTCCATCAGACAATACTACAGAAATGACAGATTCAGGGTCAGAACTGAGCAGGTCAACAGGGTGCCTGTGAGCCAATAACAGGTGACTCACACTCCTATGACACCCACCTCAGCTGTACCAACACTTTTCCTTTAGCTCAAACCTACTGGGGGGTAGTTCTCTGTAACCAACTGATGGAGGGAAAAAATACTCAGCCCGACTCACAGATGGGTTAGCTTTATATGTTTATAGTTGTCACACACACACTAAAAGGATTGTCACTGTAACATAGCTCCATTTAGAGGGTGAAGGGAAATCCTCCCAACAGGCTAAGCTTTAAGCAGAACAAACACTTGTTTGTTTTGTATGTATGGAGGGTGAAATGGGTCTAGGCACGGATTCAGCTCTCACTTGCATGCAACCTGGAGGTGCAAGGGAGTTAAGTGATAGAGACAGAGCTGGGAAGCAAATCCCCGACCATTACACGTGGCTCTTCAGAAGGCCTCAGTGGGATTGGACCCCAGTAGTCTTACAGCAGTAAGGACTGGGACAAGCCTGAGGTGTATGAAAAGAGAGAAGCATTTGCCCCTGGTACAGAACTGAAGGGGGCACCAAAAAATTCAGCAATCAAGATAAATGATATTTTAATGTAACATTTTTTAAAATCGAAATTAATGTGAAAATCCATGACAAAGACACTATCAAATTTTTAAATAAATACAGGATCCGAATTGCTAATTTCCTCTTTATCCTCAGGTTCCAATAGAGCTAGCTCTGCGTGGCACTGTGAAAGACCCTGGTCATTGCGGAGGACCAGCTCCACGTCACAGTCCTGTGTGCTGGCGTTACCTCCTTCCCTGTTCACGTCCTCCAGGGTCCCTCTGCACTGTTTGCCGGGATCACTACTTCAGATCAACTCGGTTACCTCAGTTCTTGTCTCAGGCTTGGCTTCATTATTTGGGGTGGGGGTGGAGGGACAAAACCCAGCATGTCATTCAGAGAAGGATCCTCTCAAAAGTGAAGGGAAGCTCTGTGAACAATTTCACTGCATGGACAGCCTTGAGTCAGAGCTTTCCTGGCACATTAGGACACATGGTCTTATACCAGGTGGGGAAACTGAGGTTCCAAGGGGGGGTGGGAAGCTGGTATAAGAGGAGGGGTCAGACTGGAAGCTATAAAATAAGAGGAAGAAATGTCCCTTGGCCTCTTAATCAGGGTCTGGAGAAGCAAACAAACTGGGGCAAACCCTACGGAGACGAGGGCTCTTTAGCCTGTCAATTTCGTCTGCCTCAGTGGACCTGGGACTCGGGCTGCAGCGCCAGCCGGAGGGCACCATGGCAGAAGGACCTTAGGTCTGGGCACTGGGCGGACAAAACGAGCGGGGTGGGAGGGGAGTGGGGGGTAGGGAGGGTGTGCTCCCGCCGGATTTGAGCGCGTGTTCTCCTCTCCCGCCCCCCTCCGTTCCCGGCGGCCCTGCTGCGAACAGAAGCCCCGCGGCGGGAGCCGGCTGCGGGCCCGCCCTGGTAAGAGGCCCCGCGGCCGTGACGCGAGCGAGAGGGCCAGAACCAGGCCAGACGCAGGCGTGACAGCGGCGCCCCGGTGGCCGCGCTCCCGCCACAGGCCGGCTCGGGGGTGACGTCCTGTCTGCAGGCCCGGGACAGCCGGCAGCCCCTGCCCCTCCCCGCGGCCTGGGCCTGCGCCTGACGCGCGGTGACCTTGCTCGTCCCCTGCAGGCCCCGGCCCGTCTCCGGCCCTGAGGCCGCTTCCCCGGCGCCGCCGGCCGGCGACCGACTCGGCGCTCCCGGCCGCGTGCGGAGCGCTCGCTGTCGCCGGCGTCGGCCGCTCGCGCAGGGCCCGCCGCCCGCAGAGCTTTCCCGGAGCCGTCTCCACTGCCTCGCGCGCCGCGTCCCCGTGCGGCCGCCGAGACTCGGACCCGGGTCGGAAGGGACCGCGGGGGGAGCCCGGCCCGACCAGGGCTGGGGCCACCTGGCAGAGCCCTCGCGCTGCGGCCTCCGCTGCTCCCCGCTCCCGCCCTCCCACGTGGGCGCAGGTCTGGGCGTCCGCGCTCGCTCGGGGGCGGCCGGGGACCGCCCGGTTCTCGGAAGCGGCGCGCGGCGGAGCCGGCAGGAGGCGCGCGGCGGAGCCGGCAGGAGGCCCGGGCGGGCCCGGAGCTGGGCGCACGGGGCGCGGGGCACGAGGCGGAGCCGCGGAGAGCCCCGCCCCGGCCGCCCTCCCTCCCCGCCGGGCCGGGCCCGGGGGTGTGGTCCCGGGTGCGGGCGGCATCAGGCTTGGCTCCGCGCTCCTGGGCAACCCCAACCCCCGCGGCCCGTTTCCCGGGAACGGCCCCAGCCCCGCAGCCTGCCCGAGCCCGGGAACGTCCTGACGCCCTCGGGGGACGCCTGCCCGAGAGCCCCCGGACCACCCCGATTGCAAGCCGCAGAGCGGGAAGCATGCGGGACTACGACGAGGTGACCGCCTTCCTGGGCGAGTGGGGGCCCTTCCAGCGCCTCGTCTTCTTCCTGCTCAGCGCCAGCATCGTCCCCAACGGCTTCAATGGCATGTCCGTCGTGTTCCTGGCGGGGACCCCCGAGCACCGCTGCCGCGTGCCGGACGCCGCGAACTTGAGCGGCGCGTGGCGCAACCACAGCGTCCCGCTGCGGCTGCAGGACGGGCGCCAGGTGCCCCACAGCTGCCGCCGCTACCGGCTGGCCGCCATCGCCAACTTCTCGGCGCTCGGGCTGGAGCCGGGGCGCGACGTGGACCTGGCGCAGCTGGAGCAGGAGGGCTGCCTGGACGGCTGGGAGTTCAGCCAGGACGTCTACCTGTCCACCATCGTGACCGAGGTGGGTGCCCGCGGCTGTCGGGGCCGAGGTGGGGACCGGGCAGTGAGCGCCCCTCCGTCTGCGTCAGCCCCCTTGAGACTCCCTGCGGCGCCCGGGGCGGCGCCCCGCCCCCCACACCTGCCGGGTGGTGCTTCTAGCCACAGGTGCGCGCTGTGGGGGAGAGCGCAGGACTCACTCTGGGCTCATTCCTGGATGGTTTCTGTCTAGGGAGGGGGTGATGGAGAAGAGAGTGCTGTGACCAACCGTCTTTTCCTTTCCGAGTTTCTCAATAGATGAAGTTTCCCAAGGGCTTAGATGCTGCCTGGTGAGGCCCAGCCCCAGACGGCCTGAGTCACCTTCCTGTCGGGGACGGGAGGAGGGGTGCCAGGGACTCCGTTGAGCTAAGATGCAGACAGACAGAACAGTACGTGGCCTGTTCCCTGGCCACGGACCTCTGGAGGTATGAGGACGTGCACTGCTCTGCCCAGTACCTTGTGGTGAGGCGTGGGCTCCTGTCCTGAGGCCCCGATTGCTCCGAAAGGAAGCAAAGGGCCTCCTGGTGCTGGTTGGGCATCAGCAGCAGAGACAGCAGAACCCGGCCCGGCACTCATGGCTGGGCAGACCCCAGAGACTTCTCTGAGCACAGGGCCAGCGGTGGGCAGGGGCTGCGGCTGCGGCTTGTGCTACTAGCCCCTCAGCATCCTGAGGGGTTGGTGGCAGGTTTTCTAAGTTCCAGGAAGCAGGACACACTGCTCCCGCTATTTTTCCTGTTTCATGTCTGGTAAGGACCAGCATATGCTGGATCCGGGTACAGCCTCCTCCTAGGGGGGCATCCTCACAGCCTAGGTAGGTAGGGTTTCCCTGCTTCTAGCCCCTCCTCTGCTGTGTGTTCCTCCAAAGAAAAACTTGAGTGGCCTCTGCTGGTCCTTTATCCCTTTCCATCTGTGCAATGTGACAGTCATCGGACATTGTGTCTGGCTTTGTGCTGGGTACAGGGCCTACACTCCGAGCTCAGATGCCCACAGAGCACACTGGCTGTGTTAAAGAGTGCTGATAACAGCCCTGGTTAGCAGTAGGGTTCTGCAGTCCTTGCTGTGTGGCTTTGGGCTAATAACCCTCTCTGTGGGATAACAAGAGGAGGAAATATTCCAAGACAGGGTGATAAAATTTGACCTGAGTCTGAAAATATGACTGATGCCTGTCTAGGCAAAGGACGCGGCAGATTCTGGGAATGGAATTCGCACAGATCAGGGTGGCTGGAGCTCAAGGGAGGACGGGTGAGACTAGAAATACCCCCACGGGCCAGGTGATAGTGGCCCTTGTAGTTATATTGAGGAGTCAACTTTCTTCTGAGGACAGCAAGGAAATAGTAAGGGTTCTAAGCAAGGCCAGATTTGTGTTTCTAGAAAGAGCTTACTCTAGCTGCTGTGAAAAGCAAAAAGACCAGTGAGTAAACCTTGGAAGTCACCTCTGCAGAACAGTGTCCAGCCAGGCCCGGTGGCTGTGAGGACTGCAGGACGAGTTTAAAGTGGGCTCAGCCTATGGACCACTCCGGACACCCCTACCCCCACGAGTCAGCACTGCACCTGCCCCGGGCCCTGGGGTGGCTGCGCTTCTCTGGCTTTGACCCCTTTCCCATAGCCTGGCCCAGGGGCATCTAAGACCAGGGCCAGCTCTTCCTACATGGATTCCTGGAAGTTTCGTCAGCACCTGAGACAGAGGCTGAGCCCACTGGCTGCAGCCGTCCAGACCAGCTGGGCTGACCTGTCTGCTGGCCACTTCTTCTCCAGTTTTATTCACCTTGGGATGGCAGGGTAGATACTGGCCTCTGCGCCTGTGGCTGCCCACGTTTGCCGTGTTCACCAGGGCCCTCGGGCACCTCCAGGATCCCCTCATCACACACTCACACAGGCAGCCGGATTCGCTCTTTCAGCAGACTTTCTCTTCTTCGCTTCCTTTCTGGTGGTGGGAGTGATAAAAGCCAACTGGGCAGTGGGGCTCGGGAGGAGGAGGAAGGGACGTGAACCCCAGGGTGGGCAGGATGGGGTGGCTCTCCCCAGAGGGGTGGTGGCACAAGGCATGCTGGAGTCAGACTGATTAGAGGGCCCATTTTGATTCCACCACCAACCACCTGGCTGACTCTGGGCAGGTTACATCTCTGCTTAAAGCATCAGTTTCCTTATCTCTAAAGTGAGGACATACACATATGCAAAGATGCAGATCAAAACCACAGTGAGATACCACCTCACACCTGTGAGGGTGGCCACTATCAAAAAACAGGAAATAACAAGTATTGGGAAGAATGTGGAGAAATTGGAACTCTTGTGCACTGCTGATGGGAATTTAAAATGGTGCGGTTGTTGTGGAAAATAATAGGGTGGTCCCTCAAAAAATTAAAAATAGCCTGTAATCCTAGCACTCTTGGAGGCCGAGGAAAAAAACCAATCTCTACAAAGAACAAATAGAAAGAAATTACCTGAAAACTATAATACTATAGTGAAAAGAATTAGCCGGCTGAGCCTGTAGTCCCAGCTACTCAGGAGGCTGAGGCAGGGAGGATGCCTGAACCAGGATTTTGAGGTGCTTGTGAGCTAGTCCACCGCCCACGGCACTCTAGCTTGGCAATAGACGTGAGCCCCGAATGTCTGTCTCCTAAAAGAAATAGGATACGAACTCCAAAGACAAGGGAGAGACGTGCCTAATTAAATCCTATGATACATGGCGCGTTCCACTGCCATAAATCCAGCACCATAATAATCCAGTCATCGGGAGTCTCCCAAGTAACTGGAAGGAAGGGTAATGGGAAGAGGGGCTGAGACTGTTTTGCGTCTAAAGGCCCCGATTAATCGTTTCTGAAGGCGCAACACGGTAGTCCAGCCGTAAAGCCAGCAGAAATCGCTGAGCGCTGAGACCGGGGAAAGAGCAAGAAGCTTATCTGGGCTTCAGTAATGGTAACGAGGACCTCTACGGGGCATGCAACGCCTCGAGGCTACTCGTGCCAAGAACGTACGCGCACCGTTTGCTCCGGTTAGCGCTCAAGTCGAGTTTTAATCCTTTCTCAACCGTCTCGTTAGCCAGCCGTGAGGATGCTGCTATAAGCATTCGCAGCCAGATAGGACCACTCGACCACCTTCGCCAAAGTTAAATCCGAGCAGCGATGGAAGCATGATCAGGACCGGGAGGCAGACAGGCGTCTATGTCCTGACTCTGTCTGCACTGGGTATATGGCCTACACCATAATCATCCCAGTCCCTGTACAAACATCGTGCCCTGCTGTAGGAGTCCGATTTCCAGATCTAAGAATCAACATCGCCACACAGACCTTGAGAGAAGCCACAGGCTCTGATCTTATCGAGGACAATCCAGCTAAAGAAACTGCTCTTCAGAGAAGGCACTGACCGAAAGAAGACCAATGCAGGGCAAGAGGCCTACTAGAAGGGGGGTCATCCACCATAAGTCAGCAGAGGACTAAAAGAGCCCACTCCACGCAGACAGCGTGCGCGTGGCAAAGGGATGGTACGAAAACCCGGCTGCACAGGATAATGTAAGAAAGAGCGGAGGAGACCTACCTGGCACGGAGTGGAGAGGCGACTGAACGAATAGCGAGACCCAACACGACGAAGGTGAAGCAGATCGCATGCTTGATTTCAGTGACTTATTCACCAGGCGGCAATTTACCACCCCAGCAGAGTTTAAGCATTAATACATGGATAAATATTCCGTTATCTTATCACAACTAGGGAGCGACTAGCGGAGTCCAGTGGGCCAGAGGCCAGAAGAGCGCCTAACTCATAAACTGAAAACGCACGGACGCGTCTCCCAAACAAACAATAAAATTATCTTCCAATATGTAATAGTGGCAAGGATCGAGGAAGAGCCCATGAGTTATGGTTATTGAATATGAGACAAAGTGATTTGATCAAGAGAGAATTACGGAATAAAAGTTAGACTGAGCTCTGAATTATAAAATAGAATGCAATATAAAAAGCCCAAACAAGAAAATAGACAAGGCATTCTAACCTAGAACTATAAGATCAGACCACTATGAACACAGGAAAGATCCATGGACTTAGAACAAGAGACCTTATGGATTTCCTGGAGCGACAAAGGCAGAGTAGTACTGGACTCAAGCAGGGTTTAACCTGTATAGGGTACGAAGCACACAAAGACTAGCAATGACAACAAGACCATTCGCGCGGGTTTCTGTGACACAAATCAAGCCTGTAGACATGTAGATGGAACCCAAGGAAAAATCACAGAAGGGAACTTTGGGTACAGTAAATATAAATTGATGAATTTCCAATAGGTGTTCCCCATATAACCTGCAAGGCTAGGCAGGCGGCCTCTTCACTTGCTTAGAAGAGACTCTCTCTCCAAAAGAAGCAAATCGCCAGGCTGCGACCTCTAAAGGCAGGTGGTTCTCAGAAGAAGATCCTCATTCTCTTAAAGATCTAGCCCAGCCCCTCGTTGCCTCCAACCGAATGACAGGGTGAGTGTCACACGGCCCTCAATGTGAAATACAAGAACCGATTGCAAGCCACAGTGTGTGCCTATGGAAATATAACAGGACACCGTATAAAAAACAATCCTGAGCAGAACGGAACATGCAATGAAGCGTAATTAGTTTAAATCGTGGAAAGCACTTCTCAAAATACTCAGGATAACATACTGCACAGAACATAAAACCACATTCAATAATTTTGAAACATGACACAGACCAATTATCCATCCAGGAATGAGCTAAACACATAATCCTTGCAGAAAGTGCTATGAAGGGAATGATCATGAGAATCGTAGTTATTAAACCACGCAAGAGCTGGGGCGAACCATGCCATCAGACGGTCTTAGCCAAGCAAAGTCAAGAGGAACAACTCTTCTGCACCAAAGCGAACACAATGCGGTTCCAGACGCGAGGAGTCCCAGTGTCAGCAGGGACGGTGGCAATCGGGGATCGGGGTGCCTATTAGCACAGCAGGCAGGGGTGGATAGTCGTCGCAAACAACCAAAAGTGCACAACAGTA